TCCCTCCCTCCCTCCCTCCCTCCCTCCCTCCCTCTCTCTCCCTCTCTCTCTCTCTCTCTGGTATGCATGAGTGTTGGGGGGGAGGAGAGTGAGTCCATTGGAAGCTAAGAGAGACGCTTTCCTCTTAAGGATCTTAAAAGCCGCATTCTGGCTGTCCCTACGTTCTTCTCTCTCTGTTCAGAATGTTCTGTGATTTCTTTTTGGATCTGGCCTTCAGTACACAGCCCGACCGCTGTGTATAATGACAGCAGGAAAATTGCCCCAAATCAATGTAAGTCTTCTTCATCCAGTAACATTTATTTTAAGGGGTAGCAGCCACTGTGGATGGCTTTTGTCTGTTCTGTCTCCCCACCCAACCGCCTCCTTTGCCTTTTCATTATCTGCACAATGTAAGGGGTGCTGAATTCAAGAGGAGAGGAGAGGCTTCTGTTCTCTCCGTGCAGTGGGTGAAGACTGCATGCTTGCTTGCTTGGAGGTGCTTTTCAGGTCTGATTTGGCTTGCTTTGTGGGTGCAGCTCCCTGGGTGGGAGGCAGCTCTTGGGGGTGGTAGGGAAGGGAAGGGAAAGTGGGGGGGGGCTTGGTTTGCTCTTGATGCCTTTGGGTTTGAAAATTGTGGGCTGGACAGGAGAGGAATTCAATGTATTTCATTCACAAATCTTGATTGTGCAAGGGGGATGGAATAGAAGGGTGAGTTCTCCTGATGGGAGCCTATGTAAGGATCCCTTGTGTAGGATAACTCCATAATTGCTTGGGGGTTGTTGCTGGATTTTTTTTTTATGGGCTTGTAACAGCAATTTTCTCCCTTGTGAGAGGAAGGGGTGGAGGTCCTTCACTTTTCATTGGGGTTGGAGCGGGCAGCGAAGCATCAGGACTATCCGACTGGCGTCCTGCCTTTGGACAATGTCCACCATTGAACCCTAGTGAGATGGTGTCACGTTCTGTGGCTAGCCTCAGCCAGAGTGGATCCGTTTGGCTTTTTGTCAAAGCACTCCTTTCCAGGGAAATGCTGCCCTGTTTCTGGAGCTGTAGTGATTTATTGGCTGTTGCCTAAATATAGATGGTCTTAGAAGCATTGGAAGAGGATTTGTTTCTTTGGTGAATCTTTCCTGGTACCTAACTTCTCCTTGGGGAAGAGGAACAGTTTTATCTCCTAGATAACTAATCACCGGCAAATATTTTTATTCTTTATGGTTCTCTCTCAAACCTTGGCTTTTAGACGTTATTTTGGCATCCCATGTTGTGGGTTTCCCCCCCTTCTCCTCTGCTTTCTTTTCTTTTCTTTTGGGGAACATGAGCTTCTGCAGTAACGGACAACTTGCTTTCCTTGTATATGTTGAACAGAGACTTTCTTCTTCTAGTGATTATATTATTTTTCAGTTATATAATCCTTTGCACATTTGCTCAAAAGAAACACCATGATATCCAGTGGTTACTTCTTGATTAATGTGTGCCGAATTGTAGTCCCAAACTGCATTATTGAATTCAAAAGGTGTGAAGTGATTTACAGAGCAGTCCTGATAAGGTGGTAAAACAATCTGAATTCATATTAGGCTGGATCTATACTAAGCTGCCTCCTCTACATAACGGCTTTTCAGGAGAGTATATTGTGAGCTAGTAGTTGCATTTCCTCTATAGTTTCATTCCGAGTCGGTCTTGTCTGCTTAAAGCTTTGAAAATCCTTTACAAAGTAGAGCATTAGAAAGAAGAGCATTAGCTCAATTATTTCCAAATTGTTAAATTAAACTGAATTCCCACTTAAGTACATAGTTTTGGAAGAAGGAATCTTGCATTTCAGCAGGGTTCTTTAAAAAAAAATCATAAGAAAATGAGTGAGGCTATTGAGCAAGTATTGTGATGGAAATGAGATCACGAGCAGAGTTTTGATGTGCACCTTAATGAAGTGAGTGGGAGGAAGCGCTGGTATTTCCTTGCAGCTTTGGTCTTCTTCCATCAGGTAAACCCCATGGGGTCCATGGGTGCTTTCTGGGGGAGAAAACCATACTGAGATTTTTTTTTGCAAAGAGCAACTGGTTCTGCTTTCAACCATCATGGTGGATCTTGGGATCTTGGAAGGGAATGTCATAAATTATTATCGTGGTAATTACTAATTGCCAATTCCTGGATATATCTAGAAGAAAGAAAAACTCCCTTCTGGGCAGAGAAGAGGGAGGAGGAAGGGGACAAAGGTGTTCATATCAAATATAGCAGTAGCTGGAGTTCCTTGTTTGGGAAAAAATGACAGCGTGAACATCACTAAAGAAGAAAGGCAGGAATGCAAGTTTCTAACTGCTTCATTTCCCCATACCATAGTTTTGTTTGCGCTGCATTTGGCATTTGAATTGAATTAATTGAATCCTTTATTTGCCCATGTGTGATTAGAACCCAAGAAATTTGCATCCCTGCTTTGGAGTAAGACCTGGTTGCTATTGATATAATGAAATTGATAACTTTTTCCCTCCACCAATGAATGCAGCATCACTTAAGGGATTAATCCTATTGAAGCCTTTTCAGTTGTCTTTGGAGAAACGTTGCAGAGCTTCAGGCTGTAGCATCCAAGCAGGTTGGCCTGGAATTCCGGAAACCACTGAGGAATTAAGAGAGTCTGATTGATCCCTTTCTCATTTTTTTAATCACTTGACAGGATTTGTTTTGTTGTGCCTTGTTTTGAACTCAGGCATTTAGGAACCAGGAACGTAAAATAACTCCAGCGATTCATTACCAAATAATGTATGGGGGAGATCTTCTTTCTGCAAGGAGAACTGGTAGTTTTAAAATGATCTCAGCTGGTTTGGATTGAAATTTTGGAACAGGCCATTCGTATCCTAGAACAGTGTTTTTCAACCACTGTGCCGCGGCACACTAGTGTGCCGCGGCACAGTG